GGGGGGGCAATGACATTGACACCAGGATTGGAAAGGAGGGCTGTGCCCCTGGGAGGGGGGGTGAAGGAGGCGTGAGAGGAGGTGGGGGGAAGAGAAAGAGGAAGAACTCGGGGGAACCAGAAAAAGAGGGGGCAAGAAGACAAGATAGATGGACAGAGGAGGGTGCTGAAGGTGAGGTGAGCAGACGGGGCACCGATTCCAAAGTGGAGGGCTTGCGGATGTCCTATATAAGTCTCTGGCAGCACCTATATAGGCTGGGCGGGCACGGTGCCCAGACCAGGAGCCTCCTTTTGGAATCTCCAGCTGGGATCCCGTGGGAGCAGGAAGCTCAGGTGACAGTAGGAAGAAAGCAGGACAGAGAAAGGGCGGGAGGGGGCAGAGGATGGAAGGAGGGACTGGACAGGGCCACCTGGTAGGCCTTGGCCTGGGCTGGTGGCCAGGCCTGAGGCTCCTTCATTCCGGCGGGCATCTGGCACCCTCTGTATCGGGCGAGTGGGTGGTAGGGCAGAGGATGGGAGCTTACTAGGGAAAGGGGTTTCGATTGCTGTCTGACAGTGTGGCTGGCTGGCTGGCTCCAGGGGGCTTCAGACAGCTGGGCCTGGCTCAGCTGCTCAGCCCCAGATGCCCAGCTGAAACCAGCAAGGCTGGGACCCACACTTACTCAGCAGATGAAAAGGCCACTTCGAAATTCTGGCGCCGGTTCTGCGGGCTGAGCTGCCCGTAGTCAAAGGCCTCTGGGAAGAAGTTGTGTACCAGGGCACAGAAGGCCATCCCATCACTCCAACTTGAGGAGAAGTTCTGGATGTCCACATGCTGGGGGTGGGGATAGGGGCCGGTCAAGGCTCTTGCATCTGGGTATTCCAGACTGGGGTAGTTGGACTCAGAGAGGCCAGTGCTTGCCCAAGACAGCATGGCAGCTGCTCATCCAGAAGTGGGAGCATCTGGAACATGAAGCTTCTCCAACTTGATCTGTTAACGCCCAGGTCTGTCTGACACTTGGGGACAGAGAGGCCCAGCACCACCCAACTAAGACCATGGTCAGGCTGCTACCACTTTCTCTCACTTACAGGAACTGACCTACTCCTCTCGCGGAACCAGCCCACCACCCAAGGTTGGCATGGCCACTTCTTCATTTATTCTGGGATATGGAGCACGCCATGTGTCCTCGCTGAGCCTAGTTTCTCAGCCTAAAAGAGGACTTCCGGTTGTCCCTGCCACATGATGACTCAGGGTGCACAGAGAAGTGATAAGGAGGAGTCATCTGGGGGTTGTTGGGTGTCTTAGTCTCTTGGGCTTACCTCATAACCACGCGTCTTGGCTCGGCACCAGTCCAGCAACATCTGCTTGATGCTGTTGGCGTTGGGCACCCCGAAACTAGTGGAGCGCTGCACCGCTGCACGGGGACCGCCAGGGCTGCTGCAGAAGCAGTTCACGGAACCAGGTCACTAGTGGGTCCATCCTGCAGACCCCAGGCCCCGCCTTCCATGACTCCAGGCCCCGCCCAACACAACTCCAGCCCCACCCGCCTTGTCCTTAGATTCTCCCTCCCGCTGATCTTCTCCTGGCTTGGCGGCCACACTCACCCTGAGGCACCTTCCTTCTCCAGCTTCTCAATCATGGCCTTGCGTGCCTGGGAGGCAGACGTTTTGGGCAGACTCTGAGCCTTCATGAGCTCCTTTTTCTTCTCTGCTTGGCGTTTCTCAAGCGCCGCCAGGCTACCAGGCCGTGGGCTGGCCTCGTCTTCACGGTCAAAGATGCTGAGGGAGAGGGGCCACAGTTAGGCGGCAGCGGAGAAGGTTCCTACTGCACGTCAGGCCCCACCCCGACGCATTTCCACAACCAGCAACCTGGCCCACGAGGGAGGTGGCCTCATCATACCCATTTTACAGACTGAAATACAGAAGCCTTAGCAGCCTACTACTGTCAACAATGTCTGCAGATCACACCCCAGGTCATAGAGCCAACGGACTGACAAAAGCAGGATCCTGAGTTCTCTGAGAAGGTTCATTGTATTGTCAAGTTCCAAGTGAGTCCAGATTCTGAAACTATCAACTAATATGAACTACAAGGAGCATAACAATCGCTCTGTTGCTGTTAGTGCCCTGGAGTTCATTCCAACTCAGTGACCCCATGTGACAGAGTAGAAATGCTCCACATGCTGTCATCTTGACGGGAGCAAATCACCAGTTTGTTCTCCTGTGGTCTAAGCAGCTGAGTGCTTAACCATCATACTACCAGGGCTAGAATAGCTCATATCTGGGTGTCGTTTTAAACTTTCATTTCCAGGAAATATAAGGAAACTGAAGCCTCTGGCAGTAACTTGTTTATGATTTCAGCAGATATGAGGTATGAAACTTGGACTTGAAGTTGACTCTCAAGACCTCTCCAGTTGACAGCCTGGATTTGGATCCTGTCCCTGCCGTCCACATCCTCTATAACATTGGTTACACCATCTCTCCCTCATGGGGCTATGGCCTGAACCATGGTCTGCAGACATTAGGCAGTGCAGTGTGGGCATCTGTAAGGGTTTGGTGCTACTCTCAGTCACAGCTGTGAGACGCCGAGCATGTTTCTGGTCTCGCTGAGCCTCCCCCTTCTCTGTGGGATGGGTGTGATCCAAATTGGGCAGGAGTGGTCTGTCTGACACCCCCTAACACCTCAGTCTACCCCTCTATGGAATGGGTGCACAATGAGGTCCCCAGTGGCACTGAGCCCTCTGTGCTCACCTGCCCATCTTCTTGGATGAGGAAGAGGAGGAGGAAGAGAAGGTCTTGGTTTGCACCATGGTGCTGCCGCTGCCATCTGCAGAGAGGGAGTGGGGGAGCGGAATGAGAGTGCGGGCTGGACATCTGGAGATGGGTTGGGGGCTGTGTGTGTGGCTCTAGTGGTAGCCACAGGTGGAGAAGAGAAAGTGACGGCTGGAGAGAGACAGGCAGACGAAGGATCAGAGGGAGCTGGAGAAGAGTCTGAGGTGGAGGCAGACACGCAGCACAGGGCGACGCCGGGTGGCCTTACTCTCTGAGCGCCTCACGAAACTTGACTCCACTGTGGTGGTGCGGGCCATCCGGGTGCCATCATCTGAGGTGGGATGGGCAGAAGTTGAGAGAGAGGGCATGAGAGGCATAGGGGGTGAGCTGGGAGGATATATCCCCACCCTGAGCCCCGAGCCTTACACCCCAGTTGAGCTCTTACTGGAATGGACGAGCCGCTCAGTCTTGGTGACTGTGCTGACGGCTGAGCCATCGGCTGCCCGCTGACTGTGCCGAGTGGTGGTCTCAGTGGCTGTGTTGCCACGGCCCTCCCCTGGCCGGGCCCGAGCCTCCTGTAGCCGCCGTTCCCGCTCTTTGTCCCGCTGGTCTGGACAGGGATGCCCCGTGCATGTCCAAAAGGGCCGCCCAATGCCACACAGCACACACACATAGGCACCCAGCCCACACAGATGGGGTGAAGGGCAGCTTGTTAGAAACACCAATGACATAGGGGATAAGGGCCCCTTTAGGATCAACTGGGAGGTGAAGGAATGGTCATAAATTGGCAAGGAATGAGACAGCAATGATGGACTTAGGCAGAAAAAAGGGAATATAGAGTAGCTGTAGGGTATGCACTCGACTGCTAACTGCAAGGTGAGCAGTTTATACCCACCAGCTGCTCTGCAGGAAAAAGAGGAGGCTTTCTGCTCCCAAAAAGATGTACAGCCTTGGAAACCCTGTATAAGATTGCTATGAGTCGGAATCGATTCAAGGGCAGTAAGAGAGAGAGAGAAAGAGAGAAACACAGAGAGAAAACTCAAATAAGTAGGATTTGGATCCAAGACAGGAATTTTTGTGGGACCAAGTAACTGAGTCAGGAAGGAGTATCTAGATCTAGGGAGGGAGTAGCTGTGTCCAAAGAAAGTGAAGCTGGCTGAGGGCAGTAACTGAGTGGGTCCTCAAATGTGCCCTAGGAGGAGGAGAACAGCCAGAGGAAGGGATATCTAGATTCAAGGAGGGAGGGAGGAATTGGAGGTGCCTGAGAAGCAATGAGACTCAGGCTAAACACAGTTGGGAGAGAAGCTGGTGAAGGGAGTAAGGACCTCTATTAACAGTTTTTGTGTGGAGATATGTTGGGGTGGCCATTGGAAGTTCTGGAGGAAGCCACTGGATTTACAGAATTGCATCCAGAGAACTGAAAATTGAGAGAATCTGGAGAAATAAACAAATCTAGAATTTGGAAGAAAGAAGAGCTGGGTTCAGGGAGGAAGTTTCTGGGGGGAAAAACAGTTGTATCCATGGAGAAATAAACTGGGAAGGGACAGAGGCTAAGGCGGACAATAAAAGAATGTGTTATTGCATCAGGCATCTGGACTCAGGAAAGAAATAGTTGAGAGTACTGGGAGAAGAAATTGGATCTGAGAAGAAAGTATGGAGGAGTGGATAATTGGGTTTAGGTAGGAGAGAAGTTGTGGGCAGAACTGGGGTACCCATCAAAGGACCCAGAGGGAAAGAAGCAGCTGAATCCAGGATAAAGGAGTAGCTATGTACAGGGAGTATCTGAGTCCATCAAGAAAGTAGTTAAGCAAGGGAATAGCTAGGTCTAGAGAAGGAGACACTGGTAGGGCAGCTGCTGAGCTAGAGTGACCATGAATGCACCCCAGGGGGAAGGGAACAGCTGGCTTTAGGGTGGGGCAGCTGGCACTCTACCTCTCTTCCTTTGTCGAAGCTCACGTAGTGCAGCCCGGATGAGTCTGCGCTCCTCAAAGTCCGTGGTCTGATCCAGCTGCAGAGAGAGCTCTTGTCATTGCTCACCTAGTGGCTTTCTGAGCCCTGTCACCTGCCAACCTTCAGCCCACCAAGTTCAGTCATACCATCTTATCCAGGACACTCTCGTCTTCAATAGCCATCAGGTCCTCAGTTCTCAGTGGGCTTCGCTGCTCTGAAGCTTTGTCTGCCCGGGCCTGTTCAGCGCCATTGGCTACTTCCACTGCTGCAGAAGGGGGCTCTGCTGGCTCGGGCTCCATCTGTGGGGTGGGTTTGTATCTAACTCTGCCCCAATGGACAGGCACAGCCTGGGAAATAACCACTTGCCCACCAGCCTACCTCCTCATGGATGGCCATGTTGGTGCCAGGTCCACGGAAGAGACATTAACAGCCTTGTTACAGAGCTTTCCTTGTACCCAGAATCATATTAATAGAATTAATAGCAGCAATAATGATGACTACCATTTAGTAAGGAGCCCTGTTGGTGCAGTGGTTAAGCAATTGGCTGTTAACCAAAAGGTCAGCAGTTGGAACCCACCAGGAGAAGACGAGGCAGTTTGCTTCTGAAAAGAGTGTTGTTGTTCAGTGCCGTCAAGTCGGTTCCGACTCATAGCGACCCTGTATAGGGTTTTTGAGGAGCAGCTGGTGAGTTTGAACTACCGACTTTGTGGCTTACAGTCCAGTGCTGATACTACAGCACCACACAGCCTTGGAAATTCTATGGAAGTTCTACTCTGTCCTATAGTCTTGCTATGAGTTGGATTCAACTTGATGGCACAAAAAAACCTGTCTCTTTTAAACATTCCAGAGAAAGGCGATCCAACAGAATGTGGAAATTATCAAACAATATCATTAATATCACACATAAATAAATTTAGCTGAAGATAATTCAAAAGTGGTGACAGCAGTGTGCAAACAGGGAACTGTCAGAAATTCAAGCTGGATTCAGAAGAGGATGTGGAATGAGGAGTATATGGCTGGTCATCAGATGGACCTTGGCTGAAAGCAGAAAACACCTGTGTTATTGACTATGCAAAGGCATTCAACTATGTGGGTCACAACAAATTATGGACAATATTGCAAAGAATGGGAATTCCAGAACACTTAATTGTGCTCATGTGGAACATGATCCATACAAAGACAAAGAAGGAACTGAAAGTACTTCCAATCATCTCAGATGCATGTGAAAAGTTGAACAATGAATAAGGAAGACTGGAGAAGAATCGATGCATTTGGATTATGGTGTTGGCAAAGAATATTAAAATAACCATTGCAACAGAACGAGGGGTTACTGTGTGGTTTAAATATAGGAAAACTGTGAGACAGAATTGTATCCCGAATTTTATGGTGAAAACCATACTTATGCAGTCTGTATGCTGAGCAAATGATCTAAAAAGCTGACCTATATGAAGAACTCCCCATCAGGATTGGAGGAAGACTCATTAACAACCTGCAATGTGCAAACAACGCAGCCTTGCTTGCTGAAAGTGAAGACTTGAAGCATTTACTGATGAAGATCAAAGATTATAGCTTTCAGCATTGATTACACCTCAACATAAAGAAAACAGCACTCCTTACAATGGCAATAAATGCAACATCATGATTGGAGTTGTTGAGAATTATATTCCAATTGGATCCATAATCAATGCCATGGAAGCAGCACTCAAGAAATGAAACAATTCATTATTGCATTGGGCAAATCTGCTGCAAAAGACACTTTAAAATGTAAAAAAAAAAAAAGATGTCACTTTGAAGACTAAGGTGCACCAGACCCAGGCCATGGTATTCTCAATCACCATGTATGCATGTGAAAATTGGACAATGAAAAGGAAAGATCAGAGAACTGATGCCTTTGAATTATGGTGTTGAAAAAAATATTGAGTATACCATGGACTACCAGAAGGATTGCTGACGTCAGATGGATCTTGGCTGAAAGCAGAGAATACCAGAAAGATGTTTACTTGTGCTTTATTGACTATGCAAAGGCATTCGACCATGTGGATCATAACAAACTATGGAAAACATTAAGGACAATGGGAATTCCAGAGCACTTAATTGTGTTCATGAGAGAAAGTCGTTGGAACAAAACAAGGCAACAAAGAACGATTTAAAATCAGGAAAGGTATTTGTTAGGGTTGTAGCCTTTCACCACATTTATTCAATCTGTATGTTGAAGATATGAAGCTGAATTATATGTAGAAGAATGTGACATCAAGATCGGAGAAAGACTCATCTACAACCTGAAATATGAAGATAATACAACCTTACTTGTTAGGAGTGGAGAGGACTTAAAATATTTACTGACACAGCCTTCAGTATGGATTACAATTCAGTGTAAAGAAAATAAAAATCTTCACAACTGGACCAATAGACAGCATCATGATAAACCAAGAAAAGATTGAAGCTGTCAGACTTCATTTTGCTTGGATCTACAATCAACACTCATGGAAGCAGCAGTCAAGAAATCAAAAGACGAATAGCTATCATCTTGTCTAGATGGGTCTGGTGAAAGGAGATGGGGATAAGATTCATAAGATTCAATAGTGAATAACTGTTATCATGACTAATCGTGACTCACAATTGTAAAGGTAGAAGTTTTGTAACAAAAAAAAGGGGAGTGGTTGATCTTACAGTCCAGAAACAGAGGACCCTAGGACCATCAAGAGAGGAACGCACAAATAGAATGCGGGACCTTATCCAGAGAAGCAGCAGCACCAGAGATGGAGGCAGAGATGGGGGCATGGAGACGGGGAGCGGCTGAGGACTCTAGATTCATCAACTATGAAGAGAAGCTGGTGGCCAGGAGCAGACTTGCAGAATGTGCCCTTTGGAGATATAATTTATTATATAAGCCTGAGTGGGTTTTTTAGTTTGTGTGTGTTTTTAAAAAAAAGCTAAAGTGGATAAAGAGAAATACTTTTAACTGATGGTATATGGAGGGGATTATAATCAATGTAATGAAACAAGTTATATGAATTGTTGAATGTGAAACTGATGATGTGCCCTGTAAACTTTCACTCAATCCAAAATAAAAACCTTAAATTAAAAAAAAAAGAAATCAAAAGACGTGTTGCATTAGGCACATCTGCTGCACAAGAACTTTTTAAAGTGTTCAAGAGCAAAGATGTCACTTTGATGACTAAGGTATTTCACTTTGAGGACTAAGGTGTGCCAGACCTAAGCCATAGTAATTTCAATCACCTCATATGTGCATGAAAGTTGAACAATGAATAAGGAAGACTGGAGAAGAATCAATGCATTTGAATTACGGTATTGGCAAAGAATATTGAAATAACAATGGACTGCCAGAAGACAAACAAATGTGTCTTGAACATGTTATCAGTACAGATCAGTCCCTGGAAAAGGACATCGTGCTTGGTGAAGTTGAAGGTCAGTGAAAAAGAGGAAGACCTCCAATGTGATGGAGTGACACAGTGGCTGCAACAATGGGTTCAGACATGACAATTGTGAGGTTGGCGTAGGATTGGACAGTGTTTAGTTCTGTTGTACATGTGGTTGCTAAGAGATGTAACTGACTCAATGGCACCTAACAACAAAAGCCAGAAGAATGAACAAATTTGTCTTGGAAAAAATACAACCAAAATGCTCCTTAGAAGTGAGGACAATGGGATTTTGTCTCACATACTTCGGACATATTATCATGAGGGACCAGTCTCTAGAGAAGAATATCATGCTTGGTAAAGTAGAGGGTCAGGGAAAAAGAAGACTCTTGAGGAGATAGACTGGCACAGTGACTGTAACAATGAGCTCAAACACAGCAACAATTGTGAGGCTGGTGAAGGTGCACGCAGTGTTTTGTTCAATTGTACATAAAATAGAGTCACTATAAGTTGGAACTGATTCAACCCCACCAAACAACAACATCTAATAGAAGGGAAGCTGAGACTCAGAGCAGCTGAGTGATTTGCCCAGAGTTCCTCTGTAGATATATTAGTCTGGGGTCTGAGCTGAAGCCCCTGAGTCCAAGTTCTTTTTGTTGTTTCACTCTCAACCCCTCCCAGGCAGACTCTGTTCTGTCCTGCCAGTTCCTGAGCCTGGGTCCTCTTGGGCCAGTGCCCAGACAGCACATGCTCCCCTCTCCCACCCCCAGCACCACCAAGAGGGCTGGACCAGGGCCTGCAGGCTCCTGATCAAGGTGTCTGGCTGAGGGTGCTTCAGAACAAGGTCCTTTCTGAAACACCCCAGTTAGGAACCACACTCTCACGGCCCTCCAGCTCCAGCCTAGAGCCTGGTCCCACCTAGGGCATGTCACAGTCCCTTGTAGACTAGCCCCTGGTCCAACTCTCAGCCCCTCCCCTCCTGTCAGGGCCTCTCAGTCAATCCATCCACCTCCTGTAAGGAGAGCCGAGATGGCAGCTGTCTGGGAGGCTTGGCCTGGAGGAGGCAGGAGTGGGGCTGGGGGCTGGGCCATGGTCAGGGACTGCGAGGGCAGCAGCCATGAGTATCCAAAGGCCAAGAGCTTGGCACCCTCTCTGCCTAGTTTCAGAGCACTAATGACCCAGTCCTCTCAGATAAGCAAACTGAGGCTCAGAGAAGGTAGTGGCATACACCTGCGGTCCCTAAGCAGGGGCAGAACCTGGTTTCATACCAACCCTCCCCCAATCGAGAAGGACTTACGAGACTGCCTCTTCGGGAAGGGGTGGCAGAGGAGCGGCGGCAGGAGCTGAAGGCAGGTGGGTGGGCCACGGGGGTCCCGGCATCCTCCGCTGCCTGGAAGAGGGCCTCGGGGTTGGCAGCCATCAGGAGCAGCTGGCTGGGCTCCAGCTCAGGCTCGAGGTCTGGCACCAGTGGGACCCCCAGCCGCAGGCTCAGCACTTCCACCTGCCTGACCAGTGCATCCAGCCGCCGGCCCAATGCCGCTGTCTCTACCCGCAGGTCTTCAGCAGCTCGGGCCACTGGCTCCACGGCAGTGGCAGCTGCCTCAGCTGCCTGGGTCACTGCCGCCTGGCCTGCCTCAGCCACTACCCGCAGCTCCTCTAACGCCCGGCCTAACCGGTCCTCGAGGGCTGCGGCCAGCTCAGACCCAGGCCCTGGAACCCCCGGCATGGTGCCTTATGGGGGTGATGGTGGGGCAGTGGCAGGGGCTGGTGCCTCTAGCTGACAGTGTTGGTGTCTTCAAAGCTGGCCGGAGGGCGAAGGCAAGGGCAGCCAGGCCTGCCCCGCCCCTGCCAGCCTCCCAGTCAGCAGCCCAAATAGAAACCTATTCTTGGCTCCCCTGTGGAGGGGCCGCAGGGGGAGGGGTGGCCGGCTCAAGTGAGCTGACAGCCAGGCCTGGCCCTGCAGAGATCACGGACAGGCACACCAAGGCTCACAGGTTCTGAAGAATGACTGAGGCCAGGACTCCAGGCCCTATGGGTGGGGAGACTGAGGCAGGGACCAGGACAGGGCCTGCCTGAACCCCCATATGCTTTAGCTGTGAGGACTCCGTCTACCAGACTCTAGAGCCTGCAATCCTTCATCCTTATGACCCGCTGCTTTTAAAAACCTTGCCTGTGTGGCAGACATGGAGGCAGGCCTTACAGCAATCTGCTGTAAAAAGCGTCTTGTCCCTGAGATCAATGTCATCTGGCCTGCTTGTGGTACTCACATCCACTGACAGACTTTGAGTGGTAGCCTTCCGGGCCTGTCTTCTGCTCCTCTGTGTCTCTCAAAGGGGGAAACTGAGTCAAACTGGTGGTGTCAGGCCTAGAGCTTACCATGGCACCTTTTACCCACCCAAGGGCCTCAGTCATCCCCTGTCCACTCTCTTGGCAGAAGGCCAGAGGGGTCCCTCCTGCTTTCTAGAGGAAAGGATGCCTTCTTGTTCCCACCCTCCACCTGTCACTGCCCAGAAACCCCAAAGCTCTAGCCATCCCAAAGTCCCTTTCAGCCCACATTCTAGCATAGTGGGTATTACCTGGGCAGCTTCTGGGGATCTCTTCCCCAGCTGAGCTCCCAACCAGTCGATCCCAGGCTCAGGAATGAATAATGGAAGGGTGCTGCGTATTCGGTTCCCACAGCACCTGCTAGGCTGCTGCCTCACTTGACTGGCACCCCCTGCCTGCCTGTCCCCCACCAGTGCTACTAATGCTACAGAATGTTGACACAAATGCTAATTGCTAATCTCTCATCTCCTAAAGAGTGGAGCGGATCTTGGATGAGCAGATGATGACTCTGACCCTCGGAACTGACAGCCAGTATGAGCTAGGAGTTGGGGGCTGAGGGACAGCTACAGGAAGAGGGGGTAAGCCCCTACTACTCTCTCTGAGCCTCAGTTTTCTTATCTGTTGAGTAGGGATAAGCCAGCCCATTTTGGAGTAAGGACCAAAAAGAGCAAGTGGGAAGTGTAAGAACATTGCAGAGTGAGCTTCTGACATGTCCAGCGGCTGGTAAGTTACTGGCTCTGAGCCTTGGGAAGCCACCTTCCCACTGGGGGAAATCTGCCAGTCCTATACTCCTGAGCAGTCTGTGTGACACTGAAGGATGGTGAGACTGAGAGGGTGAAGGGTCTCACCTTAATGTGGCAGCCTCCCCGGCTACCAGGGGCAGCAGGGCTGAAACTGGTGACATGAGTGACGCTGCCTAGCCGGGCCAAGGATCCAGGGCTGCTGACATGGGTGATGGTGCTTGTGCCTCCGCTGCTGGTGCTGTGAAGGCTGGGGGGTGCACGAAGCCCCAGCGTCACTTCTGAGGGAGAGAAGGGCTGCTGTGAGGATCGGGTGGGATGAAGGCAGGGCCAGTCCACGTTGATGGTGTCCTTGACCCCAGGACACCTCTCAGAGACACTGTGAGCCTGGGCTGCAGACCCTGGCAGCCATGCAGAGTGGGTGGCTGCAGGTACTCTGCCCAGCAGTGGGGGGCAGTGGGGAGGCTTACCTGCCCTCTGGTTGCTTGTAGGCAACAACACGCGGCCTGTGGAGGCCTGGCCTCGGCCATCCTTGATCTCAATGGTGAATGTGGTCTTCATGCTGCCTCCTGGCTCGGCAGCACCGGTGGCCACGGGCATTGGGGCACTAGGCTCCTCTGAGCGGTGGGCAGGCCCCCCTGCTCTGTTTTCAAGGGACCTGGCAGCTAAGCCCCGCCCCTTGGGGCCCTCCTCCTGGGGGCAGCTCTGGAGCTGGGCAGGGGGCTGGGCTCCTGGCTGCTCTTTGATGAGCAGGGAGGAGGTGTCACTGGGGCCCCTTGAGGAGGAGATTATAGAGGAGGAGACATGGGTGGTGTTGATGAGGGAGGGGCCCAGGATCCTTGTAGGACTCGGGGTGCAGAAGGCTGCCCGGGATGGGCTGTTCTGAAGCCTGGCAGCCATGGGAGAATCGGATGTGAACTTGCGGACGCGGTCCCGAACAGAGCCAGCCCGCTGGAATGGGGAAGGTCCACTGTCTAGTGGGGTGGGCTCTAGAAGGCACAGGAGGGCAGTCAGTGGTTGGGTGGGCACAGGGTCTGGGAGAGGGGAGTGGAAACAGACAGTACCTCGGTTCTGGGCTGACTGGCGGGGGCTGAGCACAGATAGGGAACGTTGGCAGGAACGGGGTCCAGCCAGTTCTGCCAGGGGAGACACATGGGGGAAGAAAAAGGAAAGTAAAAGGGAGGGCTCACCTGGGGGTCCCATGTCCTCTCCCCCCACCTCTCTAACTCCCAGTTCCTCCCTGCATCACCCCAATTCTTCCAGCTTCCCCAGCCCTCTTACATCCCATACTCCCTAGCCTCCCCACCCATTGACCCTGGGATGACCTGGACACTCTTTGGGGATGGGGGGCAGGGTGAGGTTTGGGCTGGAGGGAGGGTGCCCAGATCCTCCCTACTGATGGTAATGGGGGACCCCCCCACCCCTGGCCAGCGCTGCCCACAGCTCCAGCCCAGAGATGGGTGTGCTCCCTTATTGGGGAGAAGAATGTGCCTGAGGCCCTTTGCCTTTCAAGGCTGTGGGGAGGCCTCTGGCCCTGGTGGGGAGGGGGTGAGAATGGTCAGGGACACCTCAGGGACAGTTGGGGGAGTGTCCAGGGACTGCCTGGACCTGAGGAAGCTGGAGCTGCCCACGCACACCAGACCATTCTGCAGGCAGGGCTATGGAGGCAGGCGCCCGTAGCAACCCCTGGCAGGACCCTCACCTGCTCTCTTTGTGTCGGAGGTGCCTCTGGTGGGGCCCGGGGCAGCAGGGGTTTCTGGAGGGCCAGACAGGAGCTGCCGGAAGGCAAGGCATAGGAATAGGCAGGGCCTGACTCTCACACCAAGAAGCTCACCTGCTGGCATCCCTGGCCCTCATCCACACTCACCTTGTTGACTACCTGTCTCTCTGTGCTGGGTGGGGCTGGTGGCTCCTGGGGCTCGGGACTGGTGTCCCTGGGTGAGCTAGGAGGCTCAGGGCTGCCTGAAGCTTTGGCGGCAGGGCACAGGGCCTCAGCAGGCTCCAGTGGAGGTTCAGGGGAGATGGTGATGGGTAAACTGTTGGGTACGGCCAGTGAGCTGGGTGTATCTTCAGAAGGGACCCGAAGCAGGAGTGTCACTGTGGTCACATCCTGGTTGGTGGCCTCAGGGGTTGGTGACTCTGGAGCCCTTGGCTGTTGCTTCTGTTCCTCAGGCTCTGGTACCTGTGTTGGGCCCACAGGATGTGGCTGAGGCTTCCCAGGTCTTGAGTATTACTGAGGGCCAGGCCAGTAGGTGTCCAGGGTAGGGCATGCAAAGTAGGGCTGGGTACAACTTCCTGCGGGCACACCTGCACTGGCACACTATGGGCAGTCTCCAAGCCCCACTCACCAACCTCTTGGCACCAATAGTGGCTCCCAGTCTTAATAGATCCCTGACGCCTCAGGCCCCTGACCCCTGACCTCAGACTGGTCATTTGAGGTGGGGAAGGGGTCTTGCCAGGACCAGAGACCCAGCAGCCTCTGCTGGTTGCTTAGGGAATGACTCAGACTGGCCCCCCTACTCAACCTGAACTCTCCCTGGAGAACAGAGAGGACTCTGTGAACAGTGCTCCACAGGTCATCTGGGGCTTGACGTGTGGCTCTGAAGGATAACGCACTGGATTGCAAGGTCAGTTTGAACTGCAAGGTGGTTGGCTCAAACCCACCAGCCACTCCTCAGACACCTAAACAGGGTTGCTGTGGGCCGGAACCGACTAGACAGCAGTTAACAACAAGTCAAGGTAAGGATGTGGGCTGTGTCTAAAAAGTTAAGGCAGCCTCCAGTGGGCTTAAGCTGGGTGGTATCAGGGTCAGGTTTGCACTTCAGGGAGATCTGTCTGTCTGCTGAATAAAGGCTGGATGGGGGTGTGGGGACAGGAGGTGGGGGCGGGGAGGTCGACAGGAAGGTTAATACAATCCTCCCATCTGGGAGGAGGTCCTGCCTGCTAACAAGGCTGGAGACGGACAGGAACTCAGACACAGTATAAGACAGGCTGGCTTGGAGGGGAAGGTCTAGATAGAAACACGACTTTTGGTGGGGGGGGGGGTGGTAAGTGGGGGATGCATGTGACTAGAAGTTACCTGGGAGAGTGGGCAGAAGAGAGTGGATAGAGTTTCAGCGTTCCCCCAACCCAAGCTGAGGGAACCCCTTAGTCAAATAGCAGGCTAGAAAAGACACCTAGGCACCCCGCTGCTGGTGCCCATCGGCATAGGATGCTGGGGCCACCTTCCCATCCGGCCCATGACCCTTACCTCACACTGTTCCAGCCTGTGTGCTGCTCGACCCTTGCTATCCTCTCTTGAACTACCAACAGGACGCCCGCTGCACAGCCTCCCAGCCAAGGTGGCAGCTGGAGGGAAGGAGTAAGCGTCAGGTGAGAGGCTGGGAGGTGCTGTGGGCAGCAGCGCAGGGGGCCTACCCAGAACACATACCCTCAATCTCCTGGGCCCGTACACGGCGGATGGCAGCTCGGATCAGCTTGCGCTCCTCATACTCGCCGGCCCCCCGCAGCTATGGGTGAGAGGCAGACCACAGGCATGGGACTGGAGAGTCCAGGGTCTTCACTGGTCCTGCCCTCCACCCCTGCCCTGACCTGGGCCTCACCAATGTGGTCAACTCCTCCACATCACTTATGGACTCCAGCTGCCCTGCCAGCCGGGTCAGGGCAGCCCTCTGCTCAGCCTCCCGCTGCTGTGAGCTGCAGGGACAACATATCTGTGACTGGGGAGTGAAGGCTGGAGAAAGAGGTCCCCAGCCCCTCAGCAGAGGAGCGTGTATGTAGACAGATGTGCACTCCTTCTGGTGGTGCACATCTGAACATGCAGGCCCGTGGCCAAAGCCCATGGCCCTGGGTACTAATACAACACATCCAGAAGAGTCCACATATACACCTCCATGTATTCCAAATGAGTACACGTACAGTTGTTTGCAAGGTCGGCAGTTTAAACCCCCCAGCTGCTCCTTGGAAACAGGGTCCCTAAAAGTCCACCGCACTTAACAACAACAGATGCATACATAGATGGACAGCAGACGCATAGGTAGGGACGTGTTCCTGCCCACCTGCACACTAGCTGAGCACACACTGCCTCCCATCCACCAGCATGTCCATCCAGCACCCCACCACTCACTGCAGCCAGTTTTCCTTGTTCTCTTGCCGCTCAGCACGGAAGCGCTTGGATGCCAGGGCCTCCTCCTCCCGCTCCAGCTCCTGCCGCTGCAGCTCCCGGATGGCCGAGCGGATGCGCCGCCGCTCTGCCAGATCTGCTGTGACCTCCAGCTGCAGGGCAGGTTGGGGCAGGTCATTTTGGCTGCCAGGGGTGGAGGGCTGGCACGAGCTGCCCACACTTTTGCCTGGAGCACAATGATTGGTCTGTCTTCACTCCCTCTGTTCCAGGCCTTCACATGCCTTGTCCGCCCACCCAGGGTCTCAGGGAGACCCAGTTCATGGTGCCAGGCATTCCCAGAGAGCCACAGTGCACCTACTGTGTGTAGGCACTCTTTGCTTCTCCTGTCACTGAGTCCTTCACTATCAAATCCCCAAGAGCCAGAGAGACACAGTTGGTGTGTGTGTGGGGGTCACCCTTTGAACCCCTAACTGTCCCTGAGGAGGGGAGGGTGGTGTGGGCTGAAGGAGTCAATCCTGTAAGCAAGAGAAACTTTGATGCTTTATCTCTCAAAGTACCTCCCTGTTTTCCTATACTGGGCAGATGGGGAAACTGATGCAGGGTAGGATATAACTGAAGGTTGGAGAAGCTTAGGAGTCCTGGTTCTTGACCTGGCTGGGGGTTAGTTTCCCCTTACACTAGCCCAGACCTAGTCACCATCAAAGAGGCTAGAGCCCAAAACGAATGTGGAAGTGGCATTAGAGGCCACACAGGGCTCTGGAAAAAGACAGCCATGGGAGGTAGGCATTCTAACCATCTTCTCAGCCCCTCTGCCCCTGGGAAACTGGGGATGGCTGATCCAACAGGGTTTGGGAAAGGGTATTTTCAGCTAATCTTATCCACACCTCCTCCTGGCAGAGCCACCCCCAGGGAGCCTCTGTGGCTCCAGGGAGAGAGGAATGTCCTAGGGGCCTCCAGGAAGCTAGTGACAGAGATAAGCCTCCAGTGTGGGTCTGACAGCCAGATGGTCATTCAGTAGCCAAGACCAAGGAGCCCTCTCATTGCCAGCCACCCCCTCTCCCCCACGAACATTCCTTCCTGCTCAGTGTGGGGACTAGGGAGGGCTAGGGAGAGATGGGGTTTCAGCAGAAAGCTTGGTTTGGCCTAACCCAGCTGTGAGATAACTTGTCCCAATCTGAAGAGAAGGGGAGAGTCTTAGGGGGACAGCATCCTCCCTGGGTACCTTCTGGCTCTGCGTTACAAAGGAGCTATGGGGTAAGGAGTGCCCTGAGGTTCAGGCCAAGGAGGGCTGCTTAGGGGTGGGCTCCGAACCCCCATTGGTTACATCCCCCATCCAGTCCTGGTTGGATGGTCAGGGCACATCTCTTAACCTTTCTGTGCCTGGGACAATGGTACACACACACACACACACACACACCCCTCTCAGGGCAAGGGGTAGGGAGAGGCGCATTACTCAGGGTCTCCTGCATAGTTGGGATGCAGTAAGCACCACCTTCCTACTTGGTTTCAGATATTCAGGAGAAGAGAGGGCAACTAGGAAGGACAGGCTATACAAAGGCTCCAGTGCCATTTACTGAGCACCTAGTGGGAGTCCTGGTGTGGTGCTGGGGATAATGCACTGAACCACAAGGTCAGTTTGAACTTCAAGGTCAGTGGTTCAATTTCACCAGCCGCTCCTTGGAAACCCTATACAGGGTTACTACGAGTCAGAACTGACTCAACAGCACTTAACAACAACAATGGGAGTGGCGCTGTAGGATAAGCACTTGACTGCAAGACTGGTTTGAACCACAGTTTGGAAGCTCAAACTTACCAGCAGCTCCTCAGAAACCCTATACAGGGTCCTATGGGTCAGAACAGCACTCAACAACAACAAAATGGGAGGAGGGGGCAGAGCCTGTGCTGAGCTTCCCACATGTCCTAACTTCATGACCGTTACCCCATTTGACAGATTAGACAATTGAGATTTAGGAAGAAATAATTTGCCTGGGTCACATTGCCTAGGAAACACTGGAGCTATGACTTGAATCCAAGTTTCCAAGGTCTGTCCTGAGTTGAGGATAACTTTGCCATGGTGGGAACCTGAGTTGGAGGTGCCCTGGTGTGACACTGTAAGTTAATGTACTGGACCACAAGGTCAGTTTAAACTGCAAGGTTGGTGGTTCAAATTCACCAGCTGATCCTCAGAAACCCTATACAGGGTAACTGTGACTCAGAACCAACTCGGCAACATTAACAGAGGTGCCCTGGAGTCCAAGAGGGCTATTATGGCCCAGGGAGGGGACTTAGGGACATGAGATTAGGCCACCAATAGGCTCATCTACCCCCGAGTCCTGGTGTAGCCTCAGACTCCAAGTCCCCTCTGGTATACTTGAAGAGACAGCTGGGCTGGGCTGGCCCTTCTTGGGCAGAGGGTAAGCTGAGGACCAGAAGTCCAATGACTAGAGCTTTGTCTCCTGGACCCCCTTTCCCAATACTCAGGGTGCCTCTGAAAAAGGCTGATATGGGAACCTTGCCATTTCTGTAATCACTGGAGGCTCAGTAGCCCCATGCAGATAATCGGAGCCTGTATCTGATCTATACAAACCAACCCCCCCCCACACACACACACCACAGTCAGTTTGTCACACTGTGGTGGCTTTCATATTGCTGTGATATTGGAAGCTATGCCATTGGTGTTTTAAATACCAGTAGGGCACCCATGGTGGACAGGTTTCAGGTGAGCTTCCAGACTAACACAGACTAGAAAAACTGGAGAGAGGTAGAGACTGCTTCTGAATGTTTACGTACTGAAACCTTATGAAGAGCAGCAGAACATTGCCAGATACAGTGCTGGATAATGAAAACATTCAGCAATGGACTCGAACGTTACAAGGATTGTGAGGATGGAGCCGGATCAGGCAGTGTTTCATTCTGTTTATGTGAAGTAGCTGCAAGTCTGAACCGACTCAATAGGCACCTAACAAATTAACAACAATCATATCCCCGAAGTGGGTGGGGCAGGGCTGGGGTGGCGGTGGACAATGTCTCTCCACTGATTATCCTCTCACATGACACTTTCCTGTGGGCCTGAAGGCAAGGGTTCACCCACAGTGTCCCGCTGGCTGTTCCTCCATCTCTACCCTTTCGGCCCCACAGAGGTGTGTGGAGGGGGTTGGGGTTGGGGCTGGGGGGAAGAAGCACAATGCACCATTGTCCTCCAGGGGGAAGGAAGGGGAAGGGGAAAGGGATGGGGCGGTTTCCGAAACTGCCCAGTGAAATTCTCCCAGGAGGCAAGAAGGCGCTTCCTTCCCCTGGGAGGCCGGGCCTCCGGGTACTTTTTTTGCCCTAGCTGCTGGGGGCGTCTCGCACCACCACCCCTTCTCTAGGCCTCAGTCTTCCTAGTGTGAGACGATTGTCCAGGCCTTCCCTCAGCCCCTGCTTCCCAGTTACTGATGGGCACCAGCTGGAGGTGCAGTAAATTCTCGCCAGAGGGCGCTAAAGGCCTGGGGGGGGGGGTGTCCCGTACGTCCCAAGGCACCACCCAAGCCTCGCCCACCCCGCCGGCTCTACAGTAGAGAGGGGAGCCAGACACGAGACTCTTTACTACCGTAGGCTAAAAAGGCCCTGTCTACCGAGAAGACACAGATGTTCAGGGAAGTCAAGAGGCTTCCACAGGTCACCCAGCTAGTAATGACGAAGTTGGGGGAGTCGCGACGCACCCCCGTCCCACGCAGCCCCAAGCCGGGTGTTTAGCCACAAATGGGGAGCAGAGGCCGGAAACGGCCTCCGGTGTTCCCGAATCGTCAGGACTGGGCGCCGGCAAAGCTGGCCCAGCCTTCCCTAATAAGGCTCAGTCCCGCAGGGAGGAACCGGGATCTGAACGCCCCAGTCCCTGCCACGAGGCTTGCGGGGGCCGGGCCAGCGCGCGGGGCGGAACCCTCGGCGGACTCAGGGCCTCAGTAATGGAGGGCTTCAGCAGAGGAGGAAAGGGGTCTTGGGTAGGGGAACCCTTGGCGGCTGACAGACTGGCGATGTGTGGGGCGGAGCCTTGTTTGCCTTTCCCAGGGAGGGGGTGGGGGTGGAGGTGGGCAGATTCCAGAGTGGAGTTCTGGCTCCGACTTTTGGAAACGTTTTCTACCGCCCAGGCCTAGAGGACCTGAGCCACTGCATGGACTCCGCGAGATGGGGATGAGCGGGGTCAGGCCCGGCTTTTCCCTCTTTTGAACCCCTGCCTCTAATACTCCCATAAGAACTCTGACTTCCGGAGGGGAGGTCGGTCCCCTCCTAGCCACAAGCAGCCGGCCGCCTTGTCGATGGCCCACACCCAAGCTGTTCAAGGCAGTGGTTTGAGGACACACTAGCAAGTACCTTCCGGAGGTTAGAGCAGCTGCTGACACTGGACAATAGCATACGGGTGGGGTGGGTCACCGGCCTTTTCCATGGGAAGGTAAATCTTTAATTTACACATTGGACAAGGATCTAGGGCTGGCACGGGGGTGGGGGAGTGGAGTGGCTGGTCCCTCCGCTGGTCAGTTGCCATCCCAGCTGTAGGACTTGCCCCACAGCCTCTCTGTGTATGGGGATAGATGCGGCATCCTCTGTGACCACCCACCAGGGGTTAGGCTGAGGCCCCACCATTAGGAGTGGACTTCCTGGCCCACTGCTAACCGTGCAAACAGACCCAGTGCCCCACCCTTTCTGCTGTTGCAGCCCCTGAGAGGAAGAAGTTCTCCTGAAGTGCCTGGACATGTGCCTCATTTTATCCTCAGGCCAACCCTACAACCTAAATGTTGTGCTTAGCCCCCCTTCCCCTCCTATTTTACAGGTAAAGAAACAGGCTCAGTGTGAAGAAAGTGACAGCCCTGGGGTCACACAACTCAGAAGGGCCCCCAAAGCCTGTCTTGTTTTTGTGTCCATCACACCCCTACCCCACAACCCCTTGGGCTTTGAGCTAGGTGTCCTGGCTAGCCTTCCTACTCTGGGCACAGGCCCAGCTTGTCCTGCCCTTCTCACACCTTTCTCCATGGCCTAAGCCATGTTGCTCAGAAACAACAGCTCTGAGGTTGGGTCCTGCTGCAGCCTCTACCTAGCAGTGCCCTTGGGGCAGGTGATTTCACCAGTGAGTGAAGTGTCCTCCCTGCTCGGGGAGCTGCTCTGACTTGCATTCTGTGAGATGGTTCACACGGCACTGGACTTGCCCCTTGTCCTGCTATGGATTAATACCCTTGCTGCTGCTGTGATCACTGCAGAGCTCAGGCTCCAGCCTCCCCACGTGTGGCTGCACATGGGTTGGTCCCCAGCAGTTACTGTTTAAACAAGTGGTGGCAGTTGGGGGCCAATAGGGGCTAGGCCTCTGCACCTGGCACAGGCAGGCACATACCACAGGGGCCTCTGCATCGGCCAAGCAGAACTGGTCTCCCTCTGTCCACCTGCCCTCTCCCCCTCCCCCCTGGCCCCATCACAACCTCTTGATAGCTGAAGTAACCTGGGCAGGCTCTACCTAGATGTCCTGGCTTGCTCTTCCCCACAATAGGGAAGATGGGGCTACTTACCAGCTTCCTTAGGGCTCCCTCGTCGAGCCCAGCCAAGGCATCGTCCACCATCTTACTGGCCCCCAGCTCCATCTGTCCCCTTCTGGTGAGATCCCCAGTGTTTGTGACACTTGACACCAGCTCAGGGGATTCTGTAGGGACAGACATGGGTCAGGCCTATTGGGGGCTCTAGAAGTCACAGGCACTTGGGGTCTATGCCTCAGTATCCTTTCTGACCATTGCTATCCCATTCTTGCTACCTGTGATGTGGCTCCTGGCTGGTAGTTGTGTTCTGCTCTAGTGTGGTTTGCTAGAAAATTCACTAAATCACGACTTAGTGGGGGGTTCCTGTTACCAGTCTGTGTGGCTTGCGCTGGGGTCCTCACTATGTCTAAGCATCAAGAGAGGGCAGCAATCTGTATTGAGAAGTTGAGGGCCCAACAAGGCCCACCCAAGATGTGCTCACTACCAGGGGGTGCCCGCCAGACTCTACAGTTTCCCTGTCCTACCCACCCATCCTTTGGGACTTCCCAGCCCCTACCTATCTCCAGGTGACTTAAGCCAGTGGAGGTGACACCGTCCCAGGCTTATCCTTGGCACCAGCCCTTTTCTCATATCCCTCTTCTTGTCTCCCCGTCAACACACACACATAGACACACCAGCCATCCTGACGCCATAAAGTCAGGCACCCAACTCCTCCTGATAGCTTACACATTTAGAATTTAATTCCCCAGTGGGAAAGGTCCTCAGAAGCGGACTTATCCAGTCCCCAGACTTCAGACTAGCAAACTGAGAGGCTCAGAGAGTATCAGGGATATTTTACTGGGAAGAAGAGACCACAAAAATCAGGCATTCTCAGAAGGTATGAAAAGACTGCATGGAGACTTTGGACACCTCTGGTTTCTGAAGGCTCCTTCCAACGAGCACCCAGGGGCTCAGGGCACCCCCTCTTGCCTCATCATTGCCCATCAGAGTGGACCACTGAAGCTTGGCCCCATCCCAGCACACCTCTCCCTTTCTTCCTGCAACCCTGTTTGTTTCTGGAAATGTGGGGGCCCTCAGGCTAGTGCATTGCAGGAGAAATATGAGGCTTTCTGCTCCCCTAAAGAGGAAAACCTACACAGGGTATAGATGAGTAAGAACCTACTCAGTGGCACTTAACAAAACAGCCTAGTGCATTGTAGATGCTTAGTTAGTATCTGGTGACTGAAATGGCCCTAGGATGCCCCCCCCCCATTCCTGTTGACTCATCCCTCAGTCACCTCATTGAGAACAGTCACTTGGAGAATCAGTTCATTTAGTGACAGACTGGTGGGGAGCCCTGATCCCTACAGCTGGGGTTTAGTAGACCTTGCCTGTTAAAACCACTGATTAATCCTTCCATCTCCATCAGCGGGGAAGGGTGTCAACCACCCCTGTCCCCTGGACCTTATCTGCCCACTTTGTCTGGGGTAACCCCCAAATATTGCAAAGTGGTCACCAGTTGTTTACCTTAGGGCCTCTGGACACTGAGTTCCCCACATCGTCTGAGGGGCAGAGGTCCCTAATGCCTAACTGAGATGTTTGGGGGCTGTGGGAAGTCCCTTCTTAGAGATTCCAAGGGTTGCTCCCTCACTCCAGTCCTATGGCTGCTACTTGTCTCAGTTTGGGGTCCTCGGATACCTCAGGGGTCTGTGGGAACTTGTTCAGGGCATCTAGCCCACAGACTAGCACCCCTAGGGATTACAGGGCCTCTAAGAAGTCCGTGGGCGTCCTGCCCTGCTGTCTCAGAATTTTCTTCTGTGGCTTAGATCCCGAGGGGCTCCTAGGTCTGGGAGTCCCAGTACCCCTGTCCAGATGTCCGGATTCCAATTCCCGGACACGACCGGAGTCCTAGTGCTGCCCCAAGGCCCTCACACCCACCTCTCAGTCCGGTCCTTCCCCCGGCGCGGTCTTGGGTTAGCTCCCTTAGGATCGGACAGATGGACGAGAAACGGACAGGCGGGAGGCGCGGCGACCAGGTATCCCAGGCCCGCTCAGCAACCGTCCCCAAGACTCTCTGAGAGCCGCCCGTCTAGCCGCGCCAGCAGTCCCAGCGATTCCGCCCCGCGCCGCCGCTCCAACCAATCTTCTGGAGGGTCCCTCCTACACTAGCGTTCTATTGGGGTAATTCAATTTTAAGGCCACGCCCCTGAATAAAGGCCCTGCCCCTTATGACCGCGGATTTGGGGATTTTAGTCTTGGGACTGCTGCCGCAGTGTCCTGGGAGGAACCGGTGGGCGCAGAAAGGGGGACACAGGCCTCGTGCCAAAGACGGGCAAGGCGCCTCGAGCCGGGGTAAGCAACCCGGGATCGTCCGAACCGCGGAACATTCAGGACAGCCTTTCCCTGCTTGTCCTCTTTGTTCAGGAGAACGTGTCCCCTCCCTCGACTCCGCCCCCTCTCACGTCAGTGTCTGGGGTAAGGTCGCCCCAGGCGGCTTTCGGACACCAAGGCCACCTCAGAAAAAATACCCCTGTGCTGAAGTGCCATGACCATCTTAGTTGCAGTAGAATTGACCATACAGCGTCCTTTCCGCTGCCCACAGACCTTTGAGCACACCTTCACCTGGCATGTTTCTTTCTTCCCAGCCCTTGACGGTTTGCTTCTGGGAGTGCTGGAATATCCGATAGAGAATCCAGACTCTCAAATATCAGACAAGGAAACTGAGGCCCAGAGATTGCTGAAGTGCCCACGGCCACACAAGAGCTCGGCCCCATTGGGAAAAATTTCGCCATCGCCTATTTCCTAAAAGCCTGGGGTCGTCGCCCACGAGTCTCCCACGGTTCGGGAGTTCTATCAGGGGGAAAAAAAACAAACCACTTATAAAAATATCAACTCATTTAATTTGCATTTCCTCCTGGTGTGGCGCTGTAGGATCAGCACGGGACTGCAAATCACAAGGTCTGCCTTTCAAACCCACCAGCTGCTCCTCGGAAACCCTCTATAGGGTCGCTATGAGTCAGAACCGACTGGAAGGCACTTAACAACAGCAACATGTACCAGAAGAAATCCTGGCGACTGCGAACCGCAAAGTAAGAGGCTTGAACCCACTAGTCATTCAGTAAGAGAAAGATGAAGCTGTCTGCTTCTGTAAAGCTTTCTGCCTTGGAAACCCTAAAGAACAGTCAGTTATGTTCTGACTTACAGGATTCCTATGAGTAGAGATGGACTAGGACCCAGTAGGTTTTATGTTCTGAAATTATAATTCCCATAGTCCTGGTGTGGCACTGTAGGTTAATGCATTCATTGGACTGCAAAGTCAGTTTGATCCACAAGGTTGGTGGTTCAAGCTTACCAGCCACTCCTTGGAAACCTTATATAGGTCACTATAGGTCAGAACTGACTCGATAGCACTTAACAACAACAACAGCCATATGAAATGGTGCTACTGTGATTCATATCTACCTTCTTTTAAGCCCAGAATCTGTTTTTAGCCATTATGATGTGGGTTTGTGGGAGGTGTTTACTCTTGCCCCAGGAAAGCCCTCACCCCGCAGTCCAGGTCATCAGTCCTCATCTGGAGAAAGGCCCAGTATATAGTCAGACCCTTTTCCAAGTGTCACCTCATTTCATCCCAAATCCATCCTGACAGGTTTTACAAGTGGGAAACCAAGGCACAGAGAGGAAAGTAACTTGCCAAGGTTACATGATGGCTGGGTGAAACAGCCCAGTTTGGAGGATATAGTTTGAGGTCTCCTTTCCCTGGAGGGCAAAGTCTAGGTTCATCTCTACCTCTCTCTTTTGGCAACACGATTGTGGAGGGAGGGTCTGTGCCCTTCAAGGCTAACTCATTTTGCCCTTTGTCATCTCCCTTTGGGCAGGGCACAACTGGGCCACCTCAAGGTCTTCAGACCTGCCTGAGTGGTTGCTGTCGGCTGCAATCAGTGGCTGTTATGCTGCAACTATGGCCCTGTCAGGTTGAGTAGAATCACACGTGTGACTTTCTGCTTGTATGAACTTCACGTCCTGCACACTCACGCACATACTCACACACCACTGGCCACACAGAAAGGACCAGTGGGTTTTGTCCTGCAGCCAAGTCCTTTCAGTCTAGATCATTTAAAAAAAAACAAACTTTTTATTGTAAATTGAGTGAAAGTTTACAGAGCAGATCATCAGTTTTACATTCAACAAACCATATACTTCGTTTCATCTCAATGATTGAATCTCCTCCAGGTAATATCATTTATCCCACTTCCTCCCTGTGTGTCTTGTTTCCATTCCTCCTTCTTTCTCAATGTTTCTGAATTTTGTCTTTGGGTAAATGCTGCCCTTTTGATTTGGAATGGTTGACCATTCATTCCATGGTACCTCCTCTACATATCTATTGCTTAGCTGAAAACTGAGCCATGGGGGTTGGGGGATAGGAGTAGTCTGGGTCATTTTTCCTGGCCTACCTGCCTGCCTTCAAGGAGCTCTGATAGCGTAGTGGTTACGAATCCGGCTGTGAACCTTAAGATCAGCAGTTCAAAACTACCAGCCACTCTGCGGGAGAAAGATGAGGCTTTCTGCTCATGTAAAGATTTACAGCCTCGGAAACCCTGTATGGGGTTGCTATGGGTCAGAACCGACTTGACAGCACTTAACAACAACAACAACACCTGCTTGCCTTGTTCCTTTCTTCCTGCAAGGGGCCAGGCAGGCAGTGGTGGTACAGAGATCAAAGGGCAGCCAGGCTCTGGGGAAAGCTGGTGGGGCAGCAAGTAAACATCCTGTGAGAAGGGTCCTGCTGTTGATTGAGAACCTATTGTTTGTTGGACACAGGGATAGAGATGGCACTACTGCAAATTGCTGCTCAGGATAGATATTACCAGATTCTACAGAGGATCAAGCTGAGACCCAGAGAAGTGACGGCCCCCAGGCTGGTAACAGCTTTCAAACTGGAGTGGAATTCTGCTCCTTCCCCTCCACCTTGCTGCTGCTATGGTGGAGGAATCCTGGAGACTTCTCAGAGGAGGTAATCCTTGAAAAGGGATGCAAAGAAATTGTCCCCACAGAGAAGAGGAGAAACATGGAAAGACATTTGTGGCAGGGGAACCGCACTAGTGAAGGCTGGTGAATGCGGAAAGGAGAGACCAGCTAAGGGTTGGGCAGGAAATGGAGATGGAGGGCAAAGTCTAGCTGTGAATGCCAGGTGGTAAGCATGCCTCTCAATCTGCCCATCAGTCAAATGATAGGCTTGGCCTGGCCCACTTCAGGCCCTTCTAGCCCCCCTCACCCTCAAAGAAGCCCTCGTAGCATAATGGGATATGTGTTGGGCTGCAGTACAAATCTACCAGCCGTTCCATGGGAGAAAGATGAGGTTTTCTGCTCCCGTAAAGATTTACAGCCTCAGAAACCGTATACAGGGTCGCTATGAGTCGGAACTGGCTGGATCTGGAAGGCACATCACTACCAGCAGGCCCCTCCAGGTCCAACCTTGGGCTAGAAGAGCCAGGAGAAGCAAAGCAGTTGGAGCCCAGGGTGATACTCCACTTCAGTGTATCAAACTGATGGACGCAATCTTTGATTCACTCTGGCTTCCTCTTCCCAGACCAGTGGTCAGGAGGTAAGAGGAGTGACAGGTCTTAGTCCTGGCTCCACTCCAGGCATGACCTTGGTCCTCTCAGAGCCTGAGTCTTCTCATCTGTACAATGAAGAAATTGTGCCTCTCTCCCAGAGCAGACATTCCAAGATTTTTAGGGAAAATGGGCCTGCAAGTGACTGTGAGGTCCTTAGACCTAGAGGGCATGCTATTGGGGCCTTACAGACTAGCGGATGTAGGGAATGTTATGGATTGAATTTTGCCCCCACAAAATGTGTTGAATGCCTATATCTGCGAATTTTGGTGGTATAATTGTTAAGCACTCAGCAACTAACCCAAAAGTAAGTGGTTCGAACCAACTAGCTGCTCTGTGGGAGAAAAGTCCTGTTGATCTCTTCCCATAAAGAGGAATCAAACCAAATTCATTCTCTCCAGCTGACTGCAGTTCACAGTGGCTCTATAGGACGGAGTACAGCTGCCCCATAGTGTATCCAAAGCTGTAAGCCTTTTTTTTTTTTTTAGCTTTTTATTATGGATTGAGAGAAGGTTTACAGAGCAGATCATCAGTTTTACTTTCAACAAATCATATACCTGGCTTCATTACAATGATTGCAATCCCCTCCACGTAACATTCCTTATCCCACTTCCTCCCTGTGATTCTGGTTTTCATTCCTCCTTTCCCAACACTTCTGAATTTGTCCTTGGGTAAATGCTGCTCTTTTGGTCTTGAACGGCTGACCCTTCTATGATGTGCACACCTCATTAGGCTTGTTATTGCCTCCATATATCTATGTTGGCTGGAAATCAAGCCATAAGGGCAAGTTCAGTTCCAAGGGTGACCAAAGGCCATAGTTTTAGGGTCCATCCAGTCTCTTTAGGACTGATAAGGCTGGTCTTTTTTTTTTTTTTGAGTTTTGTTTTACATTTTCTCCCACTCTGGCCAGGACCTTTTGGAGCAGTTGGTTGTGGTAACTGGGCACTGTCTAGTTCTGCTGGTCTCAGGATCATGTATAGATGTTCAGATGTTCCATTAGTCCACAGGACTAATTGGTTCCAAGCATCTTCAGTTTTCATCACTCTTCTTTCCTTTGCAGAATGAGAAACCGAAGATACACCTTAGGTGACCACTCATGAACTTTTAAGATCCTAAGGCTGTAATCTTTACAAAAGCAGACTGCTACATTTTTCTCCTTCAGAGTGTCGGTAGGTTTGCAGCTGAGTGTTTAGCCACTGTGCAACCATGGGACGACCCCATAAAGATTGCAGCCTATAAACAGTTGTACTCTGTCATATAGGGTCACTAAGTCTGAATCAACACAAACAGTAAGTATACTGTTGGATGCAATCCCATTTGGGAGTAGGGTTTTCCTTGCTTTGTTAATGAGGTCATCTCAGTGGAGGATGTGTCTTAGAAATCTACTCAATTTTGAGATGTTATATACGTACATATAAAATAGCAGATTAGGCCCAGAAAAGTAAGCACAAACCATGGGGACGATACATCCCATGTGGAGTT